GTTTTTTGTGCTGTGCCCTTGTAGCCTTTGTTGTGTTGCAGCAGGTGCTGACTTATATGAGAAGTCCTGCTAGTTCTGATCAACATTTTGCACACATGCAGTTAAAGCTGGAAAGAAATTAGGGTAAGCCTTCGTCTGTACTCACCATACTGTCATAATGTATCAGCTCCAGCTCATAGTCAGGCAGGATGTCTGTCCTATTATTCACCAAGTCCAGGGCCATCTGAGCAGCGGGGAGGCAGGCTTGTCCACCAGGCCAGCCTCCACTCATGGGAAACAGGGCTCCAATGTAGAGCTTCTTCTTGCCTAGAGCCGGGCAGGAGCAGGATAGAAGAGTAAGGATAAAGGTCAGAGAGTAGCGGGAGACCGGCCTACGGGGGAGGTTTTGGCAAAGCCTTTTCATAGCTGGGGGATGCTGAAGGTTGAGCGAAGCTTGGAGTCAGTGTATTCCTTCTATACACTTTTCGGCTTGGAGGGAGCAAGGTGGTATTCCGTGGCTCGGGAAGAATGAAATTCTATGAACGAGCCCACGCCGGTGTTCCTGAGAGAAGAGAGCCCATTTGCAATTCTGTGTTATTTACATCATTTTAATGTGATCGTAAGCTTTTTGCAACCGACAAACAATTCAAATCAACGCAGAGGACTGTCATCAAGCTCTTCTCCCGTTAAACTAAAACTAGGAAACCTATCATCGCCTGTGTTTGGAACAGAACTTCGTAAACACGCAGCTTCAACGCTTTTATAAAGTACTCTGTCCACAGGTACAACGATCTCCATCAAACTTATTAAATGCAGCTGGTAAACCGGGGGGACAATTCATTGGCAGAAAGCAGCTTTAAAGTTGCTGGAGTTGAATAGAAGGTTGAGATTGGTGACTGAATCAGGCTTCAGGCTCTTTCCACCGTCTAAGGTACCGAAAGTGTCGGAGGCTGCCTGGTTTTCAGCTTCTCTCTGTTTCCAGGAGATAACCGATTGCTGTAACGATGCTCTCCTTTTTCTGCTTATGAAAAATTGAGAACCATCCACACCGAGCCCACGAAGACACGCGGAGATTTAATTTGTCCTCTCCGTCATTTATCTGCCCTTCTCCATCTTATCCGCCTACATCCATAGCCTACTCACGGATCTCCAGTCCAAAGCCTTATTAGAGCGTTTTAAACATGTTGTACGCAGACCACACCATACAAATGAAAAAGCCTGGTTTTCAGTAATCCAATAGGAGAACAATCGATTAGACAGCAAGGTCGATCTTCAGATGAAAAAGTGGCCTCGGTGTTGCTGGAATGCAGTCGGCCGCTCGGGAGAGAGCCGAGAAAAATGACGGGAGCTGCTGAGCCCGCTGTGGCTGACTGCAGCAGCGTGCAAGAGCGGAGAGAGGGAGGAGGAGGATGCTTCGTCCCTGCGTCTCACAAACC